ACTTCTATGCAGAATTTGCATGAAGTTAGACATTTGACTGAGGGAGAAGTCCAGCTTAAGGTCGGAAATGGAGCACTTGTCAATGCGCTGGATGTAGGAACTTATGTTCTATCTCTCCCCAGTGGCTTGTTGTTGCATTTAAACAATTGCTTGTTTGTACCTGCCATTAGCAGGAATATCATTTCTGTGTCCTGTCTTGACAAAGCAGGATTTTCTATTAACGTCAAAGACAAGTGCCTTTCGGTTTTCAGAAATGATATTTACTATGCAACTGCTAAGATGACCAATGGTCTTTATATCTTAGACTTAGACGCCACTGTTTATAACGTAGATGTTAAGAGAAGCAAACCAAACAGTTTGAATCTCACATACCTTTGGCATTGTCGTTTGGGCCACATTAACGAGAAACGCATATCTAAGTTACGTCACTCTGGCGTACTTGATTGATTTGACCTCGAGTCTTTTGATGTATGCCAATCTTGTTTACTCGGTAAAATGACAAAGGCTCCATTCACCGGTCACGGTGAAAGGGCGAGTGATGTATTAGGCCTCATACACTCTGATGTATGTGGCCCAATCAACACTGAAGCTAGAGGTGGTTTATCATACTTCGTAACATTTACTGATGACCTCAGTCGGTATGGATATGTGTACCTCATGAAACACAAATCGGAATGCTTTGACAAGTTCAAAGAATTCAGAAACGAAGTAGAGAAACAATTAGGCAAAAGTATCAAGATCTTCCGCTCGGATCGAGGAGGTGAGTACTTAAGCCTGGAGTTCGACGACTATCTAAAAGAGCACAGGATCCTATCCCAGCTGACTCCTCCCAGTACACCCCAATTAAATGGAGTGTCTGAAAGGAGAAACCGAACGCTGCTCGATATGGTTCGGAGTATGATGAGTCTGACAACATTACCAGAGTCCTTTTGGGGAAAAGCACTATTAACTGCCGCACACACGCTCAATCGCATACCATCTAAGGCTGTTGAGAGCACACCATACGAGCTATGGCGTGGGACAAAACCAAATTTGTCGTACTTGAGAATTTGGGGTTGTGATGTTTACGTTAGACGCCTCATGACGTCTGGTAAGGTGGATTCCAAATCTGACAGGTGTAAATTTGTGGGATACCCTAAGGAAACGAAAGGGTATGAGTTCTATCATCCGACAGATAACAAAATCTTTGTTGCTCGGAATGGAACCTTCCTTGAGAAGGAGTTTCTCTCTACTATTTCTAGTGGGAGAAAGGTAGACCTAGAAGAAATTCGAGAACCACAAGAAGAGATCTCAATAGTAGTGGAACCCGAGCGTCAAGATTTAGTATCTCGACCAGCTCAGGTTTTACCACGTAGGTCAGACCGGATGCGTAATCCTCCGGTTAGATACGGGTTCCTTGTATCTGATGAAGGCGACGTCTTGCTGGTAGACCAAGGCGAACCTGAGACCTACCTCGAGGCAATCACGTGCCCCGAATCCGAACAATGGCTTAATGCCATGGAATCCAAAATGGAGTCTATGTACACAAACCAAGTCTGGACCTTGGTTGATGCGCCCGAAGGGATAATACCCATAGGGTGCAAGTGGATTTTCAAAAAGAAAACAGACGTAGACGGGAAGGTTCATACCTTCAAAGCTAGATTGGTAGCAAAAGGTTATAGACAAATCCGTGGAATTGACTATGATGAAACCTTTCTCCAGTTGTGATGCTGAAGTCCATTCGGATAATGCTTGCGATTGCAGCATTCTACGATTACGAGATTTGGCAGATGGACGTCAAGACAGCTTTCCTTAACGGGAACCTCAAAGAGGATGTCTATATGACACAGCCTGATGGCTTTACAATTGCTGGTGAATCTACCAAAGTCTGTAAGCTGCAACGGTCAATCTACGGATTGAAACAAGCATCTTGGAGTTGGTATATACGCTTTGATGAAACCATCACTAGTTTTGGTTTTGAGAAGAATTCTGACGAGTCTTGTGTGTACAAGAAGGTCAGTGGGAGTGTGATAGTATTCCTAATCCTATATGTTGATGACATATTGTTAATGGGTAACGATGTTCCTGCTCTCACATCTGTAAAGACTTGGTTGAGCGAGAACTTCGCCATGAAGGACTTGGGGAATGCTAGTTATGCCCTTGGCATAAGAATCTACCGTGATAGGTCAAGAAAGTTGATAGGTCTATGTCAAAGTACATATATAGATAAGGTCCTTGATCGATTTAGCATGTCTAACTCGAAAAAGGGAACCTTACCTATGTTACCTGGCACGGCTCTTTCCAAGAGCCAGAGTCCTTCTACTCCCGAGCAGAAGGAACTCATGATGAAGGTCCCATATGCTTCTGCAATTGGTTCCATCATGTATGCCATGATATGTACTAGACCTGATGTCTCATTCGCTTTAAGTGTGACCAGCAGATACTAGGGGAATCCAGGTGAAGCACACTGGAAAGCGGTCAAAAACATCCTAAAGTATCTTCGGAATACTAAGGATGCATTCCTGGTATATGGAGGTGAGGAAGAGCTGAAAGTGATCGGTTACACTGATGCGAGCTTCCAAACCGATTGAGACGATTACAAGTCACAAGCAGGGTATGTGTTTTGCCTGAATGGCGGAGCTTTTAGCTGGAAGAGTTCTAAACAGGACACAACTGCCGATTCAACTACAGAGGCTGAGTACATGGCTGCCGCTGAAGCAGCAAAGGAAGGTGTTTGGATAAAGAAGTTCATTTCTGAACTTGGAGTGGTTCCTAGCATTAATGACTCAATCCTGTTGTTCTGCGACAACACTGGGGCCATTGCACAGGCAAAGGAACCACGATCTCACCAAAAGACCAAGCACATTGTACGACGTTATCACATCATACGAGAAATCATAGACAGAGGTGATGTAGAGATTTGCAAAGTAGGAACAGACGACAACATTGCCGACCCCCTGACCAAGCCCTTGGGAAAGCTAAAGCATGAGGGTCACACTAGGTCAATGGGCATTCGACCGATGCCAGATTCGCCATAGTGCAAGTGGGAAATTGTTGGAGTTGGTGCCCTTATGGCCAACTGCTGTTGAAATATCTTAGATATTTTCTATCATGTAAAGGCAGATGCATTAAGTTTACAAACATCTCATGCTAATGTAAACTCTTAATTGCATTCCTAGAATTATATTATAAGATGTTTATCAGAATGAGTCTTCTGATGTTGAGACTGACATCTTGTCACTTAGTATAATTCTGAACGGTCTATAGTCGAAGCATTAACGAGAGCAGGATATCGTTAATGCGTGTGAGACTAGTGAGAGTTAGATGTTTGACCTAGTNCTAGACTTTTAGTCTATGCTCTAAGTGTCCTTAATGCGACTATTGGTATAACGATCCTCAGACTTGAAGTATTACGTTCTTCGAATGTGTGAACCCGCATGCTTTGATTCATTGTCCTAAGCCGTATGAAATAAGGATGGTACACAGGCTTTGTATTGGGCATGCCGCTGCACGTATTCGAAGACGTAGATTACGTACAAAGAATTTTTCACTGCTACTCAAGCAGAATAATGTCTTGTAGGGGCCCACTGATAAGTATGACTGAAGAAATGCATGGCCATGCTGAGATGAGTTTAGACATCTGTTCTCATCAGTCAGCTTGTTAATCAGTAAATAACTTAATGGCTACAAGTTGGATATTTTATATCCCATGCACTAAGTTAAGACATTGGGACAAAAGGATCTACGTTATACAAAGTCTTAGTCGTAAAAAGGTTTTGACGGAGCAAACGTCTGAACTTATAATCTGGGGGTAATAATGTGTTGCTAGATACCGCTTATTACTTATAGTATTGGTGTAGAGTCAATACTGTGGCCAGTTTTATAAGTGCCTATATGGGTCACACACTTTGGCAATTTAAAGAGTAGGATTATAAGAAGGGATAATATATAATTTGTATATTGTAAAATAGTAAAGTAAAATGTTTAATATAATATTATATTTATATATTTATATATATATATATATATATATATATATATATATATATATATATATATATACTTTGTACACGGCACACATATATTTATATATAAGTATACATATATAATGTGCGTGGGTACATATATATGTAATATACTTATAACGTGTACATATATGTATATATATATTACATTATATATTATATTGTGTAAATTTTATTTTGGAGTGTCATTTTAATTATGAAAATAATTATTTTGACAAAAACTATTTTAAAGTATATTTTATATACTTGTTTTAAAATGTTTTGGGTATTTTATTTTATATCATAAAAATTATTGATGTCAAATAAAATACACTTTGAACATTTGAGAGGAGGAGAATTAAATTCCTCCCCCTCACCATTTCGTACATATGCTTTACGGAGCTTCCCTTGTCTCCCACTTTGTAAAATGAGTGGTGGAGGTGAATTGGACAAAACCTTTTGTCATTTTATCATTATCAATGTTTCTCTTTCTTTAATAGATTAAATAATGGATCTTCACCCTCTACTCACTTCAGTTGTTCGGCCAAGAGAAGAGAGGAGCAGCATAATATTTGAGTTCCAAAAGTTATTATTTTGGGTGTAGAAAATTGTTATAATATTTTCTCCAAAATATTATTGATATATTTTATACTATTTAATATACAAGATTTATATTATCCCTAAAATAATCTTTATATTAAATATACTATTATAATCTTTACTAGCATAAAGATTATAGTAGACTCCGGAGATTGTTCGTGTGTCAAAGTTGGAGGCCGGACGCTTGAACGGCTACGTTTGCTCCTTCAACACCTTTTGCTCGACTTCTCGTTCATACCGCTTTACCAGAGAATGTATAAGTTTCTATCTCTAGCTATGTTTTAGTACGTGTTCTTGGGCTAGTAATCACTATTGGGAGATTAAATTTTTGTATTTCCGCTGCTCTCCCTACCGTGGTAACCTTTCAGAATCAACCAAAACACCATTAGATCTCTTTATCAAACGAAGTAACACCAGGGAAAAGATAGACAGCCTGCCGGTTAAAGCCTCACAAACAACAACTGGTACACCACACAAAAATCAGAGGTATCAGGCATACACAAGAAACTCCTATGAAAACTACAGATGCTATCGATGCAAAGAATGGGGGCACATTAGAAAGATGTGTCGCAGAACCAAGAGGGGAAGACAGAGAAGTCCTAGAGTCAAGCAGATATGGGTGCAAAAGCATGTGGCATCACATGCAAACTCATGCATGCGAGTCACTCCAGAGCAATGGCTATTGGATAGTGGATGCTCACATCACATGACTGGAGACAACAAAAGTTTGAAGAACATGCAGGAGATAGAGGGAGGCAGTGTCAGATTTGGAGGAGGGGCACATGGACAGATCATTGGATGTGGAACATTAAATGTCACTAGACTTCCACCTATCAAGAATGTTTGGCTGGTCAAAGGATTACAAGTAAATCTCCTAAGCATCAATCAGATATGTGATCAAGGTTTAGAGGTGACATTAACTCAACAAAAATGTCGAGTAAAGGACAAAAACAAGTTGGTTGTGCTAGAAGGCGACAGAACCACAGACAACTGTTATAGAGTGAGCCCCAACATCTTGTGATACACAGCAAGTGAGAAAGATGCCAGACTATGGCATTACAGATTAGGGCACATTAATTACAAGGATCTGACAACTCTGTCAAACTCAGGAGCTGTGAGAGGTTTACCAAAGATCACAAAAATTAAAGATGAGGTATGCAAACCATGCCAGCTTGGTAAACAGGTTCATTCAAGTCATCTGAAGAAAACATTCAGAACGACTCAGCAACCACTTGAATTACTTCATCTTGACCTATTTGGTCCCATGAAGACTGAGAGCATAGGAGAGAAGAGATTTGTGCTTATGGTGGTAGATGACTTTACAAGATACACCTGGGTGAGTTTTCTGAAGCACAAGGATGATGCACTGGAAGCCTTTGCAGCTCTATGCAAGAAAGTACAAAATGTAAAACAGCTGAAAATAAAAGGAGTCATCCGAATACGAAGTGACCATGGAGGTGAATTTGAAAACAAGCCTTTTGAAGAATACTGTGATCAACATGGGATATGGCATGAGTTCTCTGCACCAAAGACACCAACAAAACGGAGTAGCTGAAAGGAAAAATAGGCATGTACAGGAGATGGCACGAACAATGATAAATACCTTTGATCTGCCTAAGAAACTGTGGGCAGAAGCCGTCCACACAGCATGTTACACTATCAACAGAGTATACATGAGGAGTGGGACAAAATCAACTCCCTATGAACTTTGGAAGGGAAGAACACTAAGCATCGCTCATTTCCATATTTTTGGGGCTAGGTGTTTTGTTCTAAGAGACCGAGAGCAAAAAGGAAAGTTTGATCCCAAAAGTGATGAAGCTATCTTTGTTGGGTACTCTCCAAACAGTAAAGCTTACCGAGTTTACAACAAAAGAACCAAAACAGTCATGGAGTCTACAAATGTGATTGTTGATGATCGCATGGAGAAAAAGAGCCAGGATGATTCAGAAGATGCTCCCGCAACTGACATGACACCTGTTGAACCAGATCAAGAAGCTCAGCCAGAAGAAACACAAATAACTGAAGTTGAGGAGCAAGAACCAGAGACATCTACTGTTCCCACACATATTCAAAAGAATCATCCCTTGAAGAATGTCATCGGATCACCAACAGAAGGGATCAAGACCAGGAAAAAGACCATAAATTTTCTTGAGATGACAAAGGCTTACTATACGTCAACATCAGAACCCAGAAACATAAAGGAGGCTCTTACTGATGAAGCATGGATAAATGCAATGCATGAGGAGCTAGAACAGTTTGAGAGGAACAAAGTCTGGGAACTAGTACCAAAACCAGACAGGGTGAATGTAATAGGCACTAAGTGGATCTACAGGAACAAAACTGATGAAGAAGGAAATGTCATAAGAAACAAGGTAAGACTGGTGGCTCAGGGGTACACACAAGTAGAAGGAGTGGACTTTGAAGAAACATTTGCACCAGTTGCACGGCTGGAGTCAATACGTATGCTCATCAGCCTGGCATGTATACTCATCATGAAGCTATATCAGATGGATGTAAAAACAGCCTTTTTGAATGGGTACCTAAAAGAAGAAGTATATGTGGCTCAGCCCAAGGGCTTTGTTGATCAAAAACATCCTGAGCATGTGTACAAACTAAGGAAGGCACTTTATGGGCTAAAACAAGCACCTCGAGCATGGTACGAGAGACTCACATCATATCTGTTAAGAGAAGGATACAACAGAGGAGGTGCAGACAACACCATGTTCTTCAAAAGGTATTACTCAGACATCCTGATAGCTCTAATATATATGTTGATGATATTGTGTTTGGATCAACTTCAAAGACACAAGTCAACTAGTTTGTAAAAGTCATGGAGACAGAATTAGAAATGAGCATGATAGGTGAGCTAACCTTCTTCCTAGGACTACAAATCAAACAAACTGCTGAAGGAATATTTATTTCTCAGACAAAGTATGCTCAAAATATGCTGAAAAAGTTTGACATGGGTGACTGTAAAAGTGCTCAAACACCCTATCCAACACATGAGAAGATTTGCAGAGATGACCTAGGAAAAGATGTGGATCCTACCAGGTACAGAGGAATGAGTCTACTATATCTAACTTCCAGCAGACCAGACATATGCTACAGTGTAGGAGTCTGTGCCAGATATCAAGCAAGTCCAAAAGAATCACACCTTAAGGCAGTAAAAAGAATTCTGAAGTATATCAAAGGGACACAAAATCTAGGGTTGTGGTACGTCGAAGGTGGTACATCAAACCTCATAAGCTACAGTGATGCTGATTGGGCGGAAACATAGATGACAGAAAAAGTACTTCAGGAGGGTGTTTTCTTCTTGGAGGAAATCTGGTAGCTTGGATGAGCAAGAAACAAAACTCAGTGTCTGTAACACCCCAACCTGCATAACCCGAATAAATAGATTAGCGAACCGGGTTGCTACTAAATTGGTATCAACATACAATATTTCTCAATAAATAAAAACATTTAATTTAAAACTAAATTATACAAAACCATTTAAATACATATCGGAGTTTATACAAACAGTGTGGAAGCTTTATAGTTAAATCAAACATTATTAAATCCCTGCATCCGTACGTCTCCTCCGTCACGCTGCCCTCCAGGACATATTTCAAGGTCAACCCCTTCATGATTACCTAGATGTAACAAGGGGAAAGAGAGGCTACACGCTCAGCAACGAAGCTGAGTGAGAAATATCTAATAGTTCGAACATACACATATGCGAACCCACTAATTCATAATCATAACATGATATCATGCACATAGGTTTAATATCATGTAGTTCACATAAACAATTCATCATATAATTTACCTGGTACCTGCCCTTTCCATTCTCATCAAAACGGAGTGTATCTTGCAATAGTGGATCACCATTAATCTGTGCTTAAACTCTACACTAAACTAAGGACTTACTACTTTTCTGGGAGTCATGATTGTTCCCACTGGATCAGCGGATCATGCTCAACCAACGAGGGAGTTCTCAGAGGTTCGTCCTCTAGTTTCAGGTAGTGTTCAACAATGTGACATGACATTAACAGTAATGTGTTTGGCATTAAGTGCATTCGTCGGTCTCGGAGTAGGTTCGCCCTTCGTGAGTCGTAACCTAGAATCTTCAATGGCATAGTCGAGATTAAGCGGATTCATTCTTGGTTCATTAAAGTTATATCTCAAACAGTTCCTTGAATCATACCAACGAGTGAGTGGGGCATCCCACTAATGTCACCACTAACACTATCGGCGTCACCAATGACTACTATTTAGGTTTTTTTTAACGGGTTAAAAGCCCTTCAACGGTGCGTCCGCTAACGTCTCAACACATTTCTACGTGTCGATGTCGTAACCTCTTTTGAGTCCGCTTCATTCGTCTCATCTTGTCGATCAGGGCACGTCGGTACGTCACGTCTTGCAAGATAGATTATTCATTACGCACCTTTGGTTTGTATCCAGCCACATCACTACACTATGATGTGCTGGTGGTAAGTATTACTTCCTTTGTTGAACAAACAAGTTCTCCTTGTCCTTTATACGGTCATTCCCGTTTGATACCAAAATAAGACTCCCTCATCCATCCAGGTCTGCATCCCCATCAGAATTTGGTTGTCCATTCCAGTGATCATAAGAGATAACCGAATATTAGACAAGATACTTTATTATGAGTATATTTTTACACTATTTTCTTTTGTTACCTAGCATCTTGTTGTTAGAGTTGAAGCTAGCATTCACGTTCTAGTAATAGGTTCCATCTACAGGATGTGAATTCCTATCTTAGATTAATGCATTTCAATATGTAGAGTAATCAACAATTTGCAGCTCAACACAGATATTCCAGCAGTCAATTTAACACAAAAATTCAAGCAATCAACTTCATACCAGTAATTGAGCAATCAGCTCAGCAGAACTATTCGAACAATCAGTTCCGTTCAAACAACTTGAGCAATCAGCTCCACACAAACACTTAAGCAATAAGACAATAACTTATTACCTTCCCGGGAGGCAGAGATGACGTGGAGGATGCGGATGCAGTATTTGGAATAACTTTTGCCATAGCTATTAGTATCGAAATAATACTATTTCCAATTATTTATTTTCAAAATAGTATTTTCCAATGGTCCGAAGACCGATTTTAAAACCATATGCTCCGATACCAAAATGTAACACCCCAACGCGCATAACCCGAATAAATAGATTAGCGAACCGGGTTGCTACTAAATTGGTATCAACATACAATATTTCTCAATAAATAAAAACATTTAATTTAAAACTAAATTATACAAAACCATTTAAATACATATCAGAGTTTATCCAAACAGTGCGGAAGCTTTATAGTTAAATCAAACATTATTAAATCCCTGCATCCGTACGTCTCCTCCGTCACGCTGCCCTCCAGGACATATTTCAAGGTCAACCCCTTCATGATTACCTACGTGTAACAAGGGGAAAAAGAGGCTACACGCTCAGCAACGAAGCTGAGTGAGAAATATCTAACAGTTCGAACATACACATATGCGAACCCACTAATTCATAATCATAACATGATATCATGCACATAGGTTTAATATCATGCAGTTCACATAAACAATTCATCATATAATTTACCCGGTACCTGCCCTTTCCATTCTCATCAAAACGAAGTGTATCTTGCAATAGTGGATCACCATTCATCTGTGCTTAAACTCTACACTAAACTAAGGACTTACTACTTTTCTGGGAGTCATGATTGTTCCCACTGGATCAGCGGATCATGCTCAACCAACGAGGGAGTTCTCACGATTGGTGGATCACCTGTCCCTATAACTTATACTAGTCTAAGGACTATAACTTGCTGTATGGGAGACATGATGGTTCCCACTGGATCAGCGGGTCATGCTCGACCAACGAAGGAGTTCTCCGTTGGGTTGGTGGAATCCCCACCTGATGGATCACCATGCAGTTCAAGGATACCCGTACGTACGTTTTTACCCGGTTCGACATAACCATTGGAGCCCAGCAGGCACCCACCTGGTTTATACTCTTAATTTCTTATATTTATGTCAGTCCCAAAGTTTCCCTCTGGGTAGACTTACCTTACCAAACGCGTTGGATCAACACGCGGTACCTGTTTGCTGTGTGCTGGATCAGCCCATTCGTACTTGCAATATAATATCCAAACACATGTATTTCACATAATCACACATGTGTTGGGTCACCATAATAATATTAGTTCACATAAGTGTTGGATCAACACAAAGCAATCGTACTCATAACACATAGCGGCCTAGAATTGGGTATTGACACCCAAACTTACCGTCATACAACACATAAGGTCTCGGAGTCAATCCTTGACGGAAACACATATCGGCAGACCCGACCTCAGGTACCAGACAGTACCCTTCACGGTACAGGGTACCGTCCTCGCAGTACCTGGGTACCGGTCCTACGGTGCCGGGGTACCGACCGAACCACCTAGCTCTTCCGGTAGGGCTGTCACGGTAGCCGACTACCGACTGAGCGGTAGGGCCTACCGTCCGTCTGGTAACTAGGTATCGAATGGTCACAGCTACCGGCAGAGAGAGAACGTAGCATACAGAGCGTGACGGTAGCACGGTACCGTCCTGGCAGTACCGCCTACCGTCTGACACAACCAATTCCAGCTTTTTACCCGTTTCATTTTCCAGCATCAAACCAACAGAAATCTCATAGCAATAAACACCAATGAGTTCATATTACCATTTTAATTATTATCAAGCACATTATTTCATCAATCGGCACCTAAATCATGCATACTACCCTTTTCAATTGGCATAGTCCCTGAAACCACCATCAAACAGTTCAGTCACGTAATTCACGCAGATCAACCATGATAATAACTATGAACGGAATTTCAAACATATATGCATATTCTAGTGTTAGATGTCCACGTACTCACCTCGATTCGTCGATTAGAATTCATCGTCGGAATAGATTCATCCCGTTGCCGGAACCGATACGGCTGCCCAAACTGCCACTGCTGCCCAAAATGGCTGGGACACAGAGGGGGTGTCCCTAGAGTGGCTGGGGTCATTCACCGGAACAGAGAGCAGCCCCGCCGGAGTCAAAGTCGTTAGCTGGTGCTGGACTTGCTGGCTGCTAGCGTCATCTCGTCGTCCGCCGGAGACATTGGGGTCACCGGCACTGGACTTCGTCTCTCGCCGATTGAGACATCGCCGACCTAGATCGCTGCCCCTCGTCACTATCAACGCCGGAGCTCCAATCGCCGCTGGTTGTCGTCGTCGGGTCTGCTCGCCGTCGTGCCCCTAGGCCGGCGTGGTCGCGAGCCGATGTCACCGTTGCCTCCTTGTGCGCCGCTGCTGTTCGATTGGGGAAGAAAGAGGGAGGGTGATGGCGGTTCAATCCAAGAAGACGAAAACGGAAGAGGGAGTATTTATATTCCTAGGGTTTTGTGCTCCGTAGTCTAAATTAACGTGTTTGAGTAAAAACACACTTTTCGGGCCAACTTGCTCTGAATTGAGATTCGTTTGCATCGTTGGATTCGATTCATCGATCCCTACCCAACGATATAACTTTTATGATCGAACGACAAACATTTGTATGTTCCACTCCGTCCGTCTTAATTCCTTTGATTAATTAATACTGATCAGTCTTTTACTTTAAACCTTTACAATTATAATCAGATTAGCTTCGTTATACTGAGACAATTAGAATCTCTAAATTATCTTTTAATTCTTCAAAAGAATATATTGTCGTAAATAAATTAATTCTTATTTATTTATTTATTGATTAACTTCTAGCCCGGTTTCTAGGGCGTTACAGTGTCTCTGTCAACTGCTGAAGTAGAATACATAGCAGCTGGGAGCTGTTGCGCGCAATTATTGTGGATGAAGTCAATGCTAGCAGATTATGGCATCAGTCATGGCGCAATACCTCTCTACTGTGACAATACAAGTGCAATCAGTATTTCAAAGAATCCTGTCTTACACCCACGTACCAAGCACATTGATATAAAACATCACTTCATATGTGAACTTGTAGAAAATAAGACAGTGACCTTGGAACACATCCCAACAGAGGAACAACTTGCAGACATCTTTACAAAGGCACTGGACGGAAATAGATTTGAGAAGCTCAGGTCAGATCTGGGCCTTTGTGCTCCTTTCTAAATTTCTTTTTTACACGTGGACACTTAAAGGCCAGCTCAGAGTGTACACGCCATGTCATATGCTGGAATTTTAAAATGAGAAAGGATATCAAGTGGCACACTTTTAAATATCTATGTCATTATGAAGCACGCTTCTCAAAATTATCAGGCGCCGTATTGCTCTCAAGAAACGAGAAGGCACAAAATATAGATTTTCAAATTAGTAGGAAAATCGATTCACTTGGCCAGCCTCATCCACACTCGTCTTCTCCAAGCTTTCCTAGAAACCCTAATTCTCTGCAAGAGAATGCAAAACAGCCATGGTGAGGAGCAAGATTGCTATACCACAGAAGTTCAACCGCCCAAAGGTCTCAAAATACCATCCCTCCTGGTTCAAAAAATACTGCCAAGTACGCAAGAAACTTCAAGAAACAAGGGCGGAGAAGGAAACAATGGAGAATCAAGGGTCTTCAGCGCATATCACCCACATGCAAGAGCAAGAAGATGATGTAGCACATGTACCAGCCCCATATCTACCACAGGTGCTCTGCATAGAATACCACAAATCTGAGGAAGGAGCGGAGACCATTGAAGTGTTGAAACCAGATTCAGCACCAACCATCAATGTGCCAACCCAGTCTCCACCAGATGCTCCAGTTCAAGAAGACGAAGAGTTCATCAAAATTCTGGATGAAGAACCTCTTGTCGCAGTCTCAGAAGTCCCATTCCAAAAGGAATCCGTAATAAAGAAAAGCAAGAAGAAAGTGGTTCCCAGTACAATCCCTCAACGAAGATCTAAGCGGAAGTTGAAGCTAGAGGAAGAATCAACTTCAGAAGCACCACCTCAGAAGAAGCAATCATCATCCTCCTCTCAGATGGACTCTGCAGCAAAGGTCACTCCGACTGTGAAAACAGGAAAGTCTCTTCACTCACGTTTTGTTTCCCCAAAAGCTAAGTCTCTTTCAGTGATGTGCACAAGAAGTCTATAATTGTTCAAAGAAGAATTGATGTGGAAGACTTTAAACTCAAGACCAATCTGATTCCCCTCCTTGAAAAATCCAAACTATTGAAATCTGTCACTCTTCAAGGCCCATTTGTGAAATCTGTTCTCTGTGAGTTTTACTACAATCTGTCTGAATCTTGTGCTGATCCTACTGACCCCATGTTCCATAAAGTATTTTTGTGTGGAAAAACCTAAAAACTCTCCCCTGCTGTTATTAACACTTTGCTAGATCTCACTCCCTGCAAAAAGGATACCCAAATTTCAGAAAAGACCATGTGGCTAGACTTCACAAATGGTAAAAAAGCCTCTCAGTCCAGCAAAGCAAAAGTTTCCTCCTCAATACTCAAAAGCTCATATGCTATCTTACTAAGAGTTGCAGCCCTTCACTGGCTCCCTACCACACACACCAATACTGTTTCCAAGATTATGGCCAGACTTCTCTACAAGATTAAGCACAACATTCCTTTTGACCTAGGACAACTAATCTTTGATCAGATAATGCTCTCTACAGCTGAGAAATACAAGGTCAACTCCATTGGGCTTCCCTATCCAACACTTCTCTACAGTCTACTGATCTCAAGGGTTCAGCAAAGAAGAAGAGGAGGAGGAAGAACTAGAAGAGCCACCACTCTAAGTGGACAGCAGGCACATGGAGGGAAAACATCACAATTAGATGGAGGTTGCTGGTCCAACAACTGCAAAAGACAGAAAGACACCCTCCTTGGTGAGATTCTTGAAGCAGAAACTGATACAGGTCAAAGAAGAGTTAGCCAGGACCTCACAGCTGAAAGAGAAAATAGATATTGAAAAAGGTCACTTGGTGGTCTTGTTGCGCCAGGCTAGGGAGGCAACTCCAGATGTGGAGCATACAGACACAGAGGAGGAGGCCACTGGAAGCATGCATTCTGATGAAGAGGAGGGTCACTCTGAGGGGGAGAGTGAGGAAGGGGATTCCACTTGATATGATCTTGATCTCACAAAACTCTGTTTTATCAGCTTGTCTTTGTGTTGAGGTTGGTTTTACCTCTGGATTATGTGTTTTTGCTCTATTATGACTTGCTTGTGGATTCAAATGTTTTGATTGGGATTTGCTGATGCTAGATATGACCTATGGTTTATTTGATATGCTCTATTGCTCATTATGATCTGTGCTTGCCCATACGAACTCCATTGTCATGTTTGTATACTTCTTGTTGGTCAAGTGACGGATGTAGGTACAGTTCTATGCCACACTTTTTAGGTGTTATATGTCACATTGTACCTACTCTTGATCGGTTGAATATTCCTCTTCATTCTTTGCCCCATTTTTCAAATAAAACTTGGCATTTTTTGTGCAAAAAGGGGGAGAAGAGGTTCAACACGGCTGAGTAGTGGTTTTTGTCAAAAATTGCCAAAGGGGGAGATTGTTGGTTCCTTGGGTGTGTCTTAGCCTCTTTGTCATAGGTGTTAGCCTCTTTGTCATAGGTGTTGGCTTTATTTTAGACAAAAACCATGTGTAGTAGTTTTTAGTACTCAGCTTGTTCTAGCTATGTGGTTTATAGAGGTGTAGCATCCTGTCCGTCACTCAAATAGTCCAAGTGCATCTGGACTCTACTAACTGAAGAAGGACTGCTGTTTACCTAACTGAAGAAGGACTCTGAGCTCCAAAGGTGATTATAAACATGTGCGGAATTGGAAGAAAGCCATATCAAGGACTCTACCCGATAAGCACACTTTGTAGGTAGAGGTGTATTAGGATTCTACTAGGGTTGATCTCGCCTTGAAAAGTATAAATAAAAGGGAGATCTATTTGTTTATGACGTGCGAGTAGAGAGAGAAAATATATCAATAGAGAATCCTGAGTACAGAGTTCATCAGCCAAGCAGATTGAAGGACACATATGGCTGGTATGCAGAATAGCCTTCTGCGGGAAGATTAACGTGCGTTCCAGATAGTTGAACTGAGAAGTACTAGAGCGTAGGCCAGGAACACGTCACAGATAAGTTTCATAGTGTTTCAGTCTCGGCATGCATGCATAAACCAATTTTATTGCATTCCCAGTTGGTCATAGAGTTTAGATCAATGGATAGATCGAGTCTGTTGACATTGAGGTTGTAAACTCTCTAAGGTGATATAGTGGGAAGGTTGTTACACTGACGTGGGCCTCGCAGACGTAGGAGAATTTGCTCCGAACAGCGTAAACAATTTGTGTGTTGTGTGTTGTTCTTTTTCTGTTGTTAACTATTTGCTAAGAGGTTGGTGTAGCACTCTGTCTGATAACCTGGTGTTGAGTAGTGCTACAGCATCCTCTGTCACAGCCTGTTGATCTTAGATTGTTACAGGTCGTACGCAGAGGGTAGTGAAACTTTCATTAAGTTCAGACGTTTGCTTCGTCAAAACCTTTCTACGACTAAGACTTTGTATAACGTAGATCCTTTTGTCCCAATGTCTTAACTTAGTGCAAGGGAAAAGATCTAGGTAGAACAAACCAAAATGAAACAAAACAAAAGGGCACAAAGTAAGGACTGGGAAATAAGAAGACAAAAGCATTCTGCCTCAACTATCAATCAGCCCATCTTGAATTTTGGAGACCCACACTGTCATCTATCTCTTGAAATTTTGCTTCACTTCAAGCATGTCCAAGGAAGAGGACCCTTTCATCCAGTTAGTCCAAAAAGGCCAGCAATAGCCCCAACCTGGAACTTCCCAATGCAAGAAAAAGTAATCAGATTGTGTGACTACAACTTAATAACCAAGAGATATGTCCGACTCCAATTCCCAAGACTAAGATTCCTGCAAGCCATTAAACATATAACTCAAAAACCCTAAAGGCATCCCTTCTCAGGTTCAGCGGATTGCCGCTGTAGTGCGGTCTCCCTTCTCTCTAAAAACCCTAAAGGCATCCCTCTTTTATTTTTTTTTAGCAACCAAACAGAAAAGCAAAGTACTCATCACGTACATCCAATTCATCCAGACTTTTCATACCTAGGCCCCTGAATTAATTGGAGTCTGGTATTTGTACTGTGAAAATAGTGAGACCGTGTGAAAGTCTTATCTGCAGGCACGAAGAGTATCCAAAGCAAGAAATATGCTGTTGATTCCCAATTGTTGATTCGAAGCCTCCTACTGGGAGAAAATAGAATTCTTCCTTTTCTTCATCTGTTAAAAGAGGCATCCCTCTTATATATATATATATATACACACACACACACACACACACATATATACATATATACATATATGTATATACTGTGTTGGTTACCCTGCAAATCATTAGAATGGAGGAAGGTCTAATAATCTGCTTGTTTTGAAGTACTGGGCGATGCTGGGCTGCAAACTAAGAGCTTTCATGCTTGTCAATGGTTTTTGGGCTTATCTCTACTACGGCGGTTTTTGAGTTATATGTTATATATATATATATATATATATATATATATATATATATGGGATTGACTCTAGTGAGATGACACCTTATGGTAAGATGACATGCTTCAATGAGATGACACAACACACAACACTGCCAATGGAAAGCTCACCAACTGCCAATGCAAAGCTCACCAACTACCAATGCAAAGCTCACCAACTGTCAATGCAAAGCTCACCACTTTTTTTAAATAAAAAAAGTTAAAAAAATAGCACCACCACTCAACCACCACTCAACCACCGCTCAACCACCGGTCCACGG